CCGGAGGCCGGAGAGATGAGAGAGGAGAGAGGAGAGGGGATAGAGGAGAGAGGAAAGATGAGTTTTTTAAAAATACCTAAAAAGCCTTCTAATTATAATTTTAACTCAAACTACCATAATTTTTAATTTCTTAATTTATCCGTTGATTTGTGGTTGAGATTGGATCTCACAGTTACCACAAACTAATCAGTTCTCCCTTGAATGGCCACTATATATACATATACATATACATACATACATATATATATATATATATATATATATATGCATACAAGGGCCTAATCAAATGCGAACTAATTAGTTTGTGGTAACCGTGAGATCCAATCTCAACTACAAATCAATAGATAAATTAAGAAATTTTTTATTTTGGTAATTTTTAATTAAAATTTTAATGCGAGGACATTTTAGGTATTTTATCTTCTCTCTTCTCTCTTCTCTCTCTGTCTCCCGGCCTCCGACCACATTCTCCAGTGATACCATAGTGGTATCACAATGCATCTTATATGTGATTGGGTATCACACTGAGGTCGTTTGTGTGGTCGATCGGATATGTAACACAGTGGTATCACAATGCATCTTATATGTGATTGGGTATCACACTGAGGTCGTTTGTGTGGTCGATCAGATATGTAACACAGTGGTATCACAATGCAGCTTATGTGTTTGAGCATCACATTGTGGTATCACCGGAGGAAGGTGGCCGGAAGACGGGGACGGAGAAAGAAGAGAAGAGATGAGAGAAAATACCTAAAATGTCCTTGCATTAAAATTTTAATTAAAAATTACCAAAATTATAAATTTCCTAATTTATTTGTTGATTTGTGGTTGAGATTGGATTTCACGGTTATCACAAACTAGTCAGTTCTCCCTTGAATGGGTCTCAATCAAATGAGAACTGAATAGTTTGTGGTAACTGTGAGGTCCAATCTCAACCACAAATCAACGAATAAATTAGGAAATTAATAATTATAGTAGTTTGAGTTAAAATTATAATTAGAGTGCATATTAGGTAATTTTAAAAAACTTCTCTTTTCTCTCTCCTCTCTCATCTCTCCGACCTCCAATCTCCGGCCTCCGGTGAAATCGGTATCACAGTATATCACAATGGGTATCACATTGTGTATTACAATGAGTGTCACATTGTGTATCTTTGTTTTTAAGGTTTGAGTTGGTATCACAATGGGTATCACATTGTGTATCTTTGTTTTTAAGGTTTGAGTTCGTATCATAGTTGGTATCACAATGGTATCACAGTATATCACAATGGGTATCACATTGTGTATCTTTGTGATTACTTGGTACCTGCCGGATTAATGTTCACCGGAGCCTGGAGATTGGAGGTCGGAGAGATGAGAGAGGAGAGAGAAGTTTTTAAAAATACCTAAAATGCCCTTTAATTATAATTTTAATTCAAACTATCATAATTATTAATTTTCTAATTTATCCGTTGATTTGTGGTTGAGATTGGATCTCACAGTTACCACAAACTAATCAGTTTT